CGTTTTTGTGGGACTGCTTTCATTGACTTCAAAAGGCCTTTGATTTGGTAGACCACAAATGCTTACTACATAAACTCGAGCATTATACAGGGTGTATAAAAAAAAGGAGACCTTTAGAAATCAAGCATATTGTTTAAATTTGAATGCCTTTTCAATTGCACATATATGCTGAACCGTAGTGCGTGAAATATTGATGGGGTGCATATATTAGAAAAAGGAGACCTTTAGAAATTGAAATAACGTTTAAACAAAAGATTGTCTGCACCTGGGAACAATCTGCCATCGGCATACTGTACGTAGATCGCATATGCACTCCATAATATTTCACGCACCACGGTTCAGCATATGTGCAATTGAAAAGTCATTCAAATTTTAACAATATGCTTGATTTCTAAAGGTCTCCTTTTTTTTTATACACCCTGTATATGGAGTAAGGGGTACTTAATTAAACCGGCTAAAAGATTACATCACTACTAGAACGCAAAGGGTTAAGTATACATGGCAACAAATTATCAGGCGGCACTGAGATCAATTATGGTGTTCCACAAGGTTCTATTTTAGGACCTTTGGTTTGTATTATATATTAACGATCTATCAAAATGCATAACAAAGTGTGACATTAATTTGTACACGGATGATACAGTTTTTAAATCGTAACAATGAGAAATGGCCACATACTCGTCAAATAAAAATTGGCGGTCAAAATCACATTCTTCCACCGTTGGGAATTGAGAAAACATTAATTATGCAAAGTTAATCAATCTAAAAGCAACGCGAGCCTGCTGCAACAACTGCAAGCTATTTGTTTCATAAAAAGTTTTGATTACGAATGTTCTCGAAAATGACTTTTTCATAAATGATCTATTAGGTTTATCGAGAGTTAGTTTCCGCCCGTTGCTCCGCATGTGGTGACTTCTATTATCACAGTAGGAGAACATATTACAGATGCACTCCGGCGCTATACCTCGGCCTTAAACGTAATTAGAAATTCTCTTTTTTTAAGAATGTTATCTATTGGATGCCAACCTAGACTCTGGAGGATTGTTTTTGATCTTGTTTCATAGTTTAATCCAGTAATTATACGTGCGGCTCGCTTTTGTAATTTATAAAGTATGTATGTAAGTAATGTATCTACGACGTCAAATATTTAGGGCGGCAAGCGGAAGTGAATTGGTAATAGTTCCTGAAGTGTGCATCTGTCTCTCTCTATTTGCTCGTCGTCCACCAAACGTTGACAACCTCACAACAAGAGTTTTACCGTCGTAAATACAAGAGCATAACAATCGGTAATAGTTCGCACGTCAAATTCATATTCAAAAGGATGTAAATATTTATAGTTTAAATGTCTACGTCGTGAATCTTCAGTGGAAGTTTATTTATTTGGGACGACATCCTAGTCCCAGTCCTCTGCTTAGCCCTGATGTCCTAGCTGACGTCGACGTCGTAGATCTTAAGCTATCTAATGTCTCACTTAGACGAAGATTAACGATTTGAGATCATTTTAGATAATTTAACATTCAATTTCAATTTCCTCTTGGGAATTGTTTACTGTATGTTTCGTTTTCCACGCAATTCCCAATGGTGGAAGAATGTGATTTCGACCGGAAATTTTTATTTGACGAGTATGTGGCCATTTCTCATCGTTACGATTTAAAAGGAGTACATTGAAAAGCTAAATAACTGCTCTTTCGTCAGAACAATCTTGTAACAAGTCTGATAATGCCATCTAACTAACAAAAAGATATTAACAGCTTGCTCCAAAGTTGTTACCACAACTGGGAACAAGCATGTGCGAACACAACTTGTCGACAGCTTATGAACGAATTTGTAACACCTTGTTTGCGCACCTTCTAACAACCATAGATATCTTATAGACACTAGATAGCGCATCTCTTTTAGTAAAATTGAAGCCAAGAATATTCCAGCGGTTACCCGTATTTGAATAGACGGCGGCCATGTTGGTAGTTCGCACTTGCTAATAAACGCTTAATTAAAAACAACAGTAACTTTCATCATTTGAAGAGTTTAAAAATGCATTTGGAATAGGGTTAACTTACTGTTTAAGTTCCCTGTTTAAGAAATAGAAAAAAGTACGAATCTTCTCATTTCATGTTCATGGGAACGACATGAAACTGCAATCACGGCTTTAATTTTTGAATTGCAGAATAACTAGATGCACAATCTAGTGTATATAAGATATTTATGCTAACAACTTAGTTGTAACAACTTAGTTGTAACAACTTAGTTGTAACAACTTGTTTGCATACGTGTGTATATGGATCAATTCATTTTTATCTCACCATGTGAAGTCCACGTGGATGGTTCAGCGGGAAAGGACAATCAATCAATCAATCAATCAATCAATCAATCAATCAATCAATCAATCAATCAATCAATCAATCAATCAATCAATCAATCAATCAATCAATCAATCAATCAATCAATGAAGCTTTATTAAAAAATACAGAAATAGGTAACATGGTGTCCTTTCACTAAAGTGCTCTTCCAAGGAGCCATGTAAAAATACAAAAACAAACGAAATTAGCCAAATATATATACAATCCTATCATATTTACAACTACTTAATCTTAGTATTAAATTTGAAAGTTAGAAAGTTTATTTTTGAAAAGATATATTGAAGCCTGACTTCTTATTTCATCCGGAAGATAGTTCCATAACACAGCCCCACGGTAGCCGAAGCTCCTTTTACCAGCCTCCGTTCTGGGTCTAGGGGTGAACATACTGTGCGAACTACCTCTAAGATTGTGAGAGTGGACTTGCGAGGTAGGTTCAAAAATAGTATTAAGCTCGTTGGGATATAAATTATTCACTGCTTTATAAATACTTGTTGCGAGCTGTTTAGCACGACGTTGGTCAAGAGTTTCCCAACCAAGACTGTGTAGTATATCAGCTGATCTTACGTCATAATCGGAGAAGGTTATTATCTTACCGGCTCTGTTTTTGCAGTTTTTGCAGTTTTTCAGAGAGGGTTTTACTTAGGCAGCCCCAAACCTCACTACAATAATCTGAGTAAGGTAACACTAAGGCTTTATACATCAGGATCAATGTGTTTTGGGGTACAAAAGTTCGAATCCGCTTTAACGCCCCAAGACTTGCACTGATCTTCTTACAAATGGTTTCAATATGAACTTGCCAATTTAAAGATTCATCAATTTCAAGTCCCAAGTATCTATAAGAATATATTCTTTCTATAGACTGTCCATTAATTTGAATGTTAAAGCGATAATTCAGATTACTTAATCTCGCTTGGCTTCCTAGGATTAAGAATTTGTCTTCTTTACATTCAGAGTAAGCTTATTAGCCCTTAGCCACGTTTGCACTTTTCTAAGTTCGTTATTTAGTTTAAGCTCTAGGTCTTTTGGATCGTTAGAACTAACAGTTAAACATGTATCATCAGCATACATCATAAGGGACGATGTAGAGGGGCAGGCTTGAAGATCATTAATATAAATTAGAAACAATAAGTGCCCAAGCAGCGATCCCTGAGGAACCCCACAAGTAACAGGTAGCAAGCTAGACATGTGTGACAATGGCTGAAAGATATATTGAGATTTACTATAGGAAAATGAAACATTGCAATATAAATATATCGTTGCTAGTGATTTATTGGTATCGAGTAGGCAATCAACCAGTTTTACCGATAATTCCCGGTCTGAGATGTGATAATCCTCGAATATTAATAATCTTAGTTTTAAAAGACCACAGTATGTGGTATTTTAAGTGCTAATATAACTTAGTATGACTGCAGTGAAATAAATAGATCGATGGATTTCGGGTGCATTCAGCTGTTCTTGTTGAGCAGTGGTAGTGTATATCCCTGCCTTTCTTCTCGTTGAGCAGTGGTAGTGTATCTCCCTGCCTTTCTTCTTGTTTCGCAGTGGTAGTGCATGTCCCTGCCTTTCTTCTATGATTCCAGGGTATTTCTACAATACGTATATAATACACTTAATGTCTGCTCCCAAAAATAAAGTAGCCAAAACCCTTATCCTTTGCCGAAATTTAACCAGTTGAAACTATTTATTTCAGAAATCTTATCTGGATCAATAGGAGTTTTTGTTACCTCGTGCCATAAAGGTTACTTTTTGCCAGTTAGGATTACCAATGCATACACAATAGTTGCTCCAAAACTTTATTTATTATAGTTACACAAACTTTGATTGGTTTTATATAGATTAAATATCACACTTAAGATTTCTATCTTGATCTGACTTCGTCGTTGATGTTACCTCTTCTAGAGCGTAAACTTAACTCTCTAACATGTGTTCTCAACACAGTCTATATCATGCACTATTATTTATTAACTGTAGTAAACGTCCTTCCTGTCCAACGTTTACTCTGGCTATTACGTCAATGGATTTGGCTCATGCATAAACTAAAATAACTTAATTAAATCAATACATTGACACATTGTAACACATTCCTCCTTCAGAATTAGTGTCGTCCCATGACACTCGTTGTTATTCTTTGGGAATGTAATGTACCGCGTGGTACGTTGTTGAGGAGTTCTCTCCATAAAGCTATCACTCTAAATTACTTACAAAACATACAGGATCATATTATTACGATTATCCAGTTTAACCTTAAATATTGCTGCAGCTTTTATTAACTGGCATAAACTCTCAACCTTATATACGTGATAGCTTTCAAAGATACGCTATATATCTTAGTTTTAATATTTTTCTTCATTGTAACGGTAGAAAATAATTAAAAATGTTATATAACTGTTCAGTATATTGGGTACGGCATCACTTGCATTGGGTGTCCATGAAACGGATGGACTTGGTTAGGGATAGGATATATTAGGTTGAATAGATGATGTCCAGGGAAAGGTGGAGGGTAAGGAAAAGGGTTTTGGGATGCAAGGTAGGGAAATGGGGGATTTAGGAACCAATTGGATGTGTTGGGTTGCTGAAGGGGTTCCCATACATTGGATGGAACTGTAGCTGAAATGGGGAATACTCTAAACGGGGCTGTCTCACCAGGGTTGTAGTAGGTTAGCCGATCAGATGGGTGCCGTGCTCGTTGTGGTCTCGGATTTTCAACTACAGGTATGGTAGGGATATCACGAACAGGGTTTAGGTTATCCTGATTACCGCTGAGGTCTAATGCTTCTTCGGTCTCGGTAAGGGTTTGCAATTCAAGGGTCTCTAAATTGTCGTCCACAGCCAGGTTATCACTTTGATCAGGAACTGCCTCGTCTGTTGGTAGCGGGTTTTGGGATTGGACAGAACGCGCTTGCCTCGTCTGTTGGTAGCGGGTTTTGGGATTGGACAGAACGCGCTTCTCGATGTAGGGAGACCATTACCACAGCAGATAATTCTTTGTCGCTGGAGGTTTCCTCATCCTGCGCTGTAACGTTTTGGTGGTTGTCGGTTTTGGTGTCGTAGGGTTGCTGGGGGTGGTTTTGGTGTAAGTGTTTGTGGGTTTTCCGCGGGTAAATGATCACAAGAAAGAAGTAAATTTCGGTGTTGAACCCTATTCTTTCCCTTACCGTTCTCACGCTTCGTTCGTACACAGGGCTCTCGGCCGGGCCCTTTCGATTTACCACCACGTAGATGTCATTCTCCCAAAATGAGCTCAGCTTCCCAGGACCACCACTTTCGGTAAGATTACGATTGATGTCCAATACCCACGATCGGAGTCCGATGGAGAAATCCATCATACATGTGCTACCGATTGATCCGATGGACAAACATGTCTACCGTCGGAGAAAAGTTTGTCCGATGGAGAAATACACGTAGACTAATAGAGCATAACGTGATATTTATTAATTCATAACATAAATATAAGAACTATTGGAACAGTCAGGCATGACAAATAAGTCGGACCGTTATACTTTTCCAATGTTTTTTTCTCTAAGTGTCCATGTTTTAAACGATGCTATATTAGTGGCAAATGTCAGATGGTCCGATCGATCGATCGGATCCATCGGACAAGCTTGTTTACGGTCGGACAGAAAATTTACCGATGGCGAAATGACGTCATTTGAAAGCTACGCGGTGGCAAAGTAAAGAGGCTGGGCAGTAGGCTCTGGCACGATGCTAGTGGCAAATGTCAGGTGGTCCGATCGGATCCATCGGACAAGCTTGTTTACGGTCGGACAGAAAATTTACCGATGGCGAAATGACGTCATTTGAAAGCTACGCAGTGGCAAAGTAAAGAGGCTGGGCAGTAGGCTCTGGCACGATGTTAGTGGCAAATGTCAGATGGTCCGATCGATCGATCGGATCCATCGGACAAGCGTGTTTACGGTCGGACAGAAATTTTACCGACGGCGAAATGCCGTCATTTGAAAGCTACGTGGTTGCAAAGTAAAGAGGCTTGGGCAGTAGGCTCTGGCACGATGTTAGTGGCAAATGTCAGATGGTCCGATTGATCGATCGGATCCATCGGACAAGCGTGTTTACGGTCGGACAGAAATTTTACCGACGGCGAAATGCCGTCATTTGAAAGCTACGCGGTTGCAAAGTAAAGAGGCTTGGGCAGTAGGCTCTGGCACGATGTTGCTGGCTTCACTTTGGACAGGCAGGACGTACATTTGGTGCTCTGTATACTCTTAAACTTTTTGTTAATATGTATTGTTACGGCAATAAAATTGTCTAAAGCAATAACACAGAATCGAAACGAATCAGAATTGAACGGTAAACCAGACGCAATTAGCAGATCTATAGAAGAATTAAACAGCATAGAGGGAGATCTAAACCTAACTGAATCCGAATTCAACCAGAACAATTCGCTTGTTAATCTCACGAAGCCATCAAGTGATAGCGAACTAATTGAGAGCAGCATTTTAATGATAGCCAATGGCAATTTGAAATGGCAAAAGAATTTCGAAGAGCTTCGCCTAGCTGTTGACCGACTACATCTACAATCTAGTAAAGGGTGGACAAGCCCGGGAGGTTACTGTAAACTGTTCGAAAGCGGGGAAGTCTCGATACGTTGGTATTCGAATAGTAAAACTTTGACGGTGAAGGGGGAAAAGGCCGACGAAATAAAAGAAAAACTAGTAAATTTCGACCGCAAATTGAGCGGTGAAGTCAAAGTATATTTGGAGAGTCCAAAGGTTGCAAATATTTTGGAGTGAACAGGTAGAAATTTGCATTTGAGGTCACGAAACTGTAGCGTGAACAATGAAATGACTCGGACAAATGGTCAAAGTTACTCAACCAACACAAACGACGCAAACTACAATAAATCCCCAGAATTTTATGAAATAAACTCTAAGTTGGAAAATTATTCACAAAATGTTACTAGAAAGCTAGATGCTTTAGCGGAAGAAATTTCAACGATAAAGGAGAATAAAGAAAATGCTGCTTACGGTATACTGATACTTGAAGAAACTGTTAATGACCTTAAGAAGGAAAAGTATGAACTTAACAGAGAGAATGAGGACTTAAAGGAGAAAAACAAGAACTTATTTCAATCTCTGTCTGAAGTAAGAGCTAAGGTTATAGAACTTCAGGACGAAAAATCGAGTCTCATAACTGCCCTAAAGCTAATTCAGCGAGAATCAGTATCACTAGCAGAAAAAAAGAAAATTGAAGACCTGGAATCTGAGAACAAGAATCTAAGAGCTGCAGCAAGAACGCTACAAGAAGACCTTGATAAGAGCAACAGAGAAAAGCGAGAATTCGCAAAAGTTAAAAAACGTAGCGAAAATGTATCCATAACACCAAATACAACTATATCATATGAGTCAAAGAACCAGTTCGAAGTTCTCAGCGTTAGTGACCACGAAGAAGAAGTAAACAAATCTGCATCAGATCTGGATCGATCAGAGGCTAGACATCATAACACAGATATATCAGCCAAACATGGAGACAAGCCAAGGCAAAGCGGAGACAAACCAAACCAACGCCGAAGCGGGCAAAATAGTCGAAAGATCAAAAGACGCCAGCAATCCAAAGGAAACATACAAGATCGTCAATCATATTTGGACGAACGGAAAGATAAAAGCGAACCCAAAGCGACAAAACAAAGGCAACCTAACATTGTAATCTTAGTGGATTCAATGTTAAAACATTTGAATCCCCGACGAATTCAGCAAGGAATTGACCAAAAGATATCAATAAAAACCTTTCCTGGAGCTGGTGTTGACGAAATGACCCACTATGTTAAACCGACGCTCCAAGAGAAACCAAAGCATATTATCCTGCACATAGGTACCAATGACCTGCAAACGAAATCACCAGATGGCGTTAATTAAAGCTGTAACAAAACTTGGAGAGGCTATAACGCAAGAAATAAGTGGTATTGAACTTACGCTGTCGGAAGTCATCACAAGAACCGACGATTTGCAACTTGCTGATAAGGTAAACATTTACAATACTAAATTAGACAATCTATGTATGAACGCAATTGGGGATTTATTACACATAAAAGTATCACTAAGACTCATTTAAATAGCTATGGTTTGCACTTCAAACCAAAAAGGAACAACTGCACTAGCAAGAAACATAAAACAGTTCTTAAAAAATCAATCCTTAAATTGAAATCAAGCCGCGGTCAAGAATACTGATAGTAATAAGCATACTGATCGACTAAAGGGATTCAAGATC